ACAATGCAAGTGGATCATATCACACAAAAGCATCCAATAAAAACAAAGAAATCAAAATGTAAGTCTATATTTGTATGTCCTATAAGAAGTACACAATATGTATATGGTAAAATTTAATTAATTATCAACAAAGATAAATAGTTTTTTTTTTGGATTCTGTAGATGAACTACAATATTCTGTAATAAAATCATCGCACATGTAAGGGTTATTACTGAGTAACCCCAGATGTCAGATTTTTTAAATAGAATAGAAAGTTTTTATTGTCATAACATACAAAATAACATCATATTACATAGCAAAAAAGTTTATATTTTTGTGTAATTTTAAATGTAAAAATATTTTTTTAGGTTCTGTGACTGTTAAAGATCATAAAGACTACAAGAAAATACTGAAACAATTACAAAAATGCCAATCTGATAATCTGTCTCTGAAGAAAAAATATTTAAATGCAAAACGTATGATGAAATCAGAGGCTTTTAAAATAATAACAAAGAAGATGTCTCCTAGTGCAAAATTATTTTGCCAAATACAAGCTACACAGAGCGGAAGAGAAAAAGAAGGCAGACGGTTTAGTTTAGATGAAAAAATTTTAGCCTTATCACTTTATAAACCATCGCCCAAAGCATACCGCCTTCTAAGCAAATTAATTATACTTCCGAGTAGACGAACTCTTCAGAGCCTATTAACCAAGGTACCTTTAAAAGCAGGTATTAATGATATAATATTTGAGAATTTAAAGAGCAGGGTTTCTAGTATGCCGGAGTCTCACAAGTATTGCTCATTATTATTTGATGAGATGGCAATTGGACCTGGTGTTACATACATCAAAAAAAGTGATCAAATTATAGGCTTTGTAGACAATGGAGACATTGTACAAAATGAGTATGCTGATTTGTTTTCATGGTACGTGGTATTGTGAAAAAGTATAAGCAGCCTCTGGCTTATTACTTCTGCAGTGGGAGTACCAAAGCTATAGAGCTAAAAAAACAAATACAGGCGGTGATCTGTAAAATCCAAGAAACAGGACTTCGAGTTATCACTACAATATGCGATCAAGGCGCAACAAATGTAGCTTCCATAAATAATATGCTCCACGAGACCAGAGAAAAATATCTGCGTATGACATAAGGATATAGAGGGATATTTTGAAGTTAATGGTGAAAAGATATATCCTATTTTTGACCCCCCACATTTGATAAAAGGAATACGAAATAACTTAATGAATAAAAATTTACAATTTGTTCTGGAAGGAAAATTACGAATCGCAAAATGGAGTCACATTTTATCATTATACAAAAGGCAGACAGCAACCCTTAATTTTAATGGTGTGAAACTGGTGCCAAAATTAACAGCTCAGCATGTGATCCCTGAACTAATACCGAAAATGAGGGTCAAGCACTGCACACAAGTGTTTAGTCAATCGGTTGCAGTAGCAATTGGTATAATGGCAGGTATGTTGTTTTTTTTTATTTTTTTATTAAAGATTAGTCTTATCAAAATAATATTGAGAAGGTACCTTGTCTTTTCTTTGTGGTTAGACCTAGAAGTCTTGGATTCGAATCCTGTGGGCATGTATCTACTTGATTTTTTTGGTAGGAGCATTTTTGCTAGGTCCGATTTAGTAGATATAAACCATCTTCCAATCTGTCTGATATAAACGTTTTTTGGTGTCCCCAACTCTTGAGATGCTGGGTTCGATTCCCAGTCGGATCATTACAGAGGTGAACTTTTCTATGTTGTCTCGGGTCTGAGTAATCTTTTACATACATACACTACAATACGACTGCTTAAAGCTACTTATTTGAGCAATATATGTGATGATGATATTCTTTTTCAACTGTTTAGTCTAGTTCAGTTAGAGTGCAGGGATTTTGACAACTTAAATGCATAGTAATTGTAACCAGAATTTGGAAACTATATGAAATATTGCTTTTAGATGAACATTAAGTAATTTATTCATTATTTAAGTCAATTTTTATTTTCCTATTTCAGATTTGGGAGTTCTTGATAAAGATTCGGCGGACACCGCACATCTGTTGATGTTCTTCGATAATCTTTTTGATAGCGTCAATGGAAGCTTCAGTGCCATCCGAGGTGGAAAAGTTTACAGAGCTGCAGTCACCCCATATTCACCACACCATAAATTATGGAAAGAAAGCTTGCCTGTTCTTAGAACAATGAAATTTATTAATGGCGATAAACAAGGAGTGGTGCCCTCTCTCTCTAGTTGGATAAAAACGATTGAAAATATTCAATGAATTGTTAACTTTTTAAATAATAAAGGCGTGACCTCCCTTTTGCTCCGCAATTTAAACCAAGATTCCTTAGAAAACTTTTTTGGTGCTATCAGGTCTCATGGGTATAGTAACATTATGCCCAATTCAGCAGCATTCGAAAATGCCTTTAAAACTTTATTAATAAACAATATTTCATCTTCACATTCTGTTGGTTCTAATTGCGAAAAAGATGACAGTGTTTGTCTCCAATCGTTAAAACAGTTTTTAATAAAACCAGGAGTCAATATAACCACAGAATTTGAAGGTGAAATAGAAAATACACATTTATGTTTAGACCTGATAGACACCGACGCACTTATATCCAGCATGGATCCAATAAAAATAGAAAAATGCGCAGCAATAGGGTACTGTAGTGGGTGGTTAGAAAACACAGCAAAGAAAATTTATAAAAATTGCATCGAATGTAAAAATAATTTGGAGGTAGCTACTGAACAAACATTTCATAAATTTATTAAAAAAAAAGAATTTGCCAATAAAAGGTGGTTGTGCTATCCATCCAAAGCACTGTTTAACTTTTTTGCACAAATAGAAAATATATGCACACAAATTTTAAACAGCAATTGTACTAGGAAAAATATATTAAGTTATATCAAATTAATAATTACTATTAATTTAAATACAAACTTTTTAAATTGTAATGTTCATAAAAATAAATTAGCTGAACATTTAATAAATAAATGTAGCATATTTTTTATCAATAACTGGTGTAGAGAGATCAATAATTTATTATCAGGCAAAACTGACTACCTTGGTAATGACTTAATGTTGCAAAAAGCATTAAAACATTTTTCAAAGAACAAGGGCAGAAAAAGAAAACGCGGAAATAATACATTAGTGAATATGTAAAGAATTATATAATAAATGGTTTCATAAGAATATTTGTGATTTCATTATGTATAGATCACGTAGGTATTTTTAGTGACAAACAACGGCAACGACATTAAGTTTATTATTTTTGTTTTAGTGTTTTCCAGTATAAGATCTGAAAAACACCAAAACAAAAATAATAAACTTAATGTCGTCGTCCTGTAAAAAATATAGGTACTACACCTATGCCTACATACAGTACATACTATATAAACGTATACATATGAATTAATTTGGGTAACTATGTACTAGATGGCGCTGGTAGTCAATATTCGCTCAATCGTGAAGTTTCCTGTCTATCTCCCTATTATACACTGTAACGCGTTAACTAACTGCGCGGTCGGCCGAGGTCTCGTTTCGTTTGGTCGTCGAATCGTTTTGGAATTTCACGCGTGAATCGTGTTACCACGTGAAATTCTTAGCGCCTTTGCGTATACCTCTACTCAGCAGTGTAAATCGTTAAGAGAGAAAAGCAGGTTAATTGAGACGATAGACGCTAATTTAACCACCACTTCAGCCAAGGATACAGTGACGTTTGTTATCGTCACAAACTAGTACGTATACAGGATATCTCAGAAATGAAAGCACCTGATCTCTCCAACAAAACTTATATTTCACTTTTAAACCAAACTTATTAGTTATTCCAAATTTATTAACTGTTCAAAACTTATTAAATATTTTATCACACCTTCCCAAAACTTATTAAGGCACTAAACTTATTATCGAAACTTATCACTCGACCGCACAGCTCGAGCGTCCAAATCACGAATGCCCCACCCGCCATGTTCGTTAGACTTTAATGGATCTTCATTCGGTGCTGCCAGTATTTTTTTTAAATCATACCAAAATTTTGGAAACCTTACACTCAACTATCCTGATAACGTGTATGCCCTCATACACGTACGAGGTGGAACTTTACACATGTCAATTGAGGATTCTTGTACATTAAATCAATTAATTTTTAAATACTACCTATAATTGAATTATAGATAAGACAGTCCTAAGCCGAAAAAGTATTAAGGGGAGTATATCGATTTTCTTTAAATTTAGTAAGAACTGCTATAATTAATTCGAACTATTTAGACTAAATAATAATGAGGTATTGTTTAATATAGCACGTAATCTGTGTAACGCACAACATAAAATAATTAACGTTATACAAAATTCAACGAGTCTTCACACACCTTTACGCTTCTTTGAATCAACGTGTTAATTAATTAGTGCCTTCATTATAACGTTAAAAAAATTATCATTTGTCTTTAATGCGTTAATGATTTTTAGTAGTTTTGAACACCTCTGCTTGGCTGTATTGCTTACTTACTTCCTTCGCAAAGAGTAGTATAATCGCCTGGCTCGGTGACGAAACTACTACTACAACTACTATATAATATAATCTGTGACTATTACTACTAACTACTACTTACTAGTGAATGTTTTTTTTAATGAATTAAATGTATTTTTAGACGTTACTAATTAAAATATTAGCATTTTGCACTTCTTTTCCATATAACCTGTAACCCTTATAAATTATGCCAAATTTTAATTCTCCTGCATCCGCTAAATTTCGTTAGGAGTCCTAAGGTTTTACTAGACGTAAATGATATATATGCAGATGCCAGAGAAAAGTTTTTACCATGGCTGACAACGTATGTGAGTATAATTTGCTCATAGGTTTATCTTTTACCAGCAGTTATGTATCTGCGCGAGCAGCAAGCTTTGTAGAGCATTAATTCAACAAGTCTTAATCATCCCTCAAACAGACGAACTTACTCTGTAGTTCCAATTGTAGTATGTATGATTCTATATAATTAAATCCAGGTCAAATTGAACATAAGGGTAAGTGGTTGTTGCAGTCGACTCCGAATTCTCGAGATCCTCAAATAATTTTAAGTATACAAAAACTAATTTATTAGAGCCTTAGGTATTAACTGTTATTACAATTCTTCCAGCACTAGGAATAGGCAACTATTATTTAATACCAATAAATAGTGGTGCAATAAGGTTTAAAGTTAGAGGTGAAATATGCACACTCTGGCTTGTTGCTAGAGACAAACCTTTTAAAGAGATATATAAGGTAATTCCAAACAATTAACTTACTTATTAGCATAAATGTTATTTAAAATGTATGAAGGATATTATCATTTTATATAAATTACAGATTCAATTAAGTATCTTGGAATCTTATGTCAAATGTTGTGAAACTTCCATTAGAAAGGGTTTTCAAACTGTTAATATGGTTAGTTACAATTCATTTAAAGAAATATGGTTATCATGGTACAACTGTAGAGTTTGCATTGGTCATCCAGAACAAGCAAGTTTAGTTGAGTTTGTAGCTGCAGATAGAGATAGCCACAATAAAATTGGTTATATTAAATTTAACAAACCAGGCATAGATAATGCTGTTGAATGGAACTTTGAAGGTAAGATGTTTCAATTTGGATATAAGTAAATTCAGTGTTTAAAGGTTATGTTGTTAAACTAGTGAGTATAATAATAATAATTATCCATTGGGTATATGATCAATTTTAAAAGAATGAATAAAATTTAAAAGAAATACAACATAAACATGGTAATTTTCATAAACATTTAAGTCATATTAGACTACTTCTAAAACTAAATAATGCTTGCTGCAGGGCTATTATAAATACTATAAGAACAACAATATAGTTAATTACATCAGTCTTCACAAAACCTTAAAATTGGTATCTTAAATGGTCCAACTATTTATTTTTCTACATTTTCAGTGTCTCCATATTGTGCAATACCATTACAATCTAGACAAATTGAAGGTGGGAAATTACATTGGGTACATATGACCAGTGATAAGTTACCACCAGATGCATTGATAGGTGGATTTGATAATGAACCTACATATATTGCTAGAGCTTATCATAATAATTCAATATGCCCTGGACGATTTATACCATCACAGCGTGTAGCATTAATCCCATGGGGCTTTCATGAACATAGGAAACAACATTTTGAGGTATAAAATTTTTGGATTCTATTGTGTTTAGTGTTTACATTTAATCTTTAATTATACCCAAAATATTTCAGATACTATGTGGTTATGATGCTGTATGGGTTCAGACTTCAGGGAATGATATTCCCCTTAATGCATTTGTTGCTGGTTCATCAGAAGTTGGTGGTGAACCATTATATATTGGTCGTGCTATGATAGATAGTAAATTATTGACTGGTAAAGTTCATGTACTGTATAAAACCTGCTACTTGCCTTACGCAGGTAAAGAAATAGAAGTGAACTCATATGAAGTGCTTGTGTCACCATGTGTCCCTTTACATGGTTATATTTAGTAAGTGTGATACAGTCAAGTGAAGCTTATACAATTATTATATTGATTTTAATTTTTATTGTCACTTAAGTAAATGAAAATAATATATCCAATTTATTTTTTATAGGAAAGAATTATGCACAAAGTGTACTATTTTTATTATATTACGTTTATGCATAATTATAACCAGGTGCATGCCTGTAGCTTTAGGCTAAATCAAAATAATAAAATTTTCATAATAAATTTTTTATTTTCAATGGGATTCAATCCAGTAATATTTACAAATCAAACGTCTTCATTTGATGCTTATTATACAATACAGATTATTGTGTATGTTCAATAAATAACTTTCCTAAAATAATATTTAGTCAAAAAGCTCAAATTCCGCATTTTCTACTTCTGCATCTTCAGCTTCAGACTCCGAATTAGGAGCATTGAGATCAACATAAAGTTGAATGTCTAACAGTTTATTTGCACATCGTTGATTTTCAAAGAATGATGTTAAAATTTCATACTTTTCTACTGCTATCTCTCTACCATCATATGGTATGTAGCAGACTTGATGTGATGGTTGTACTTTTCCAGGCACAAGATGTCCATTGTATAATGCACGACCTACATACAACTTTTCTCGTTTTCGGTCCTCAGAATAACCACCTTCTACTGCTCCTACCGGTATTTTGTTATCACAGGTTGGTATCCATGTACAATCAAACCCACATAAGACCTAGAAAACAATGCAAAAAGTAATGTAAATTATTAAATTTGTTGTAAATTTATAAAATTTAAGGATAGGCCGTCACCTCAAATGCCATCTTCTCATGTGATAAACCACCCCATGCTATATAACCCACACCCTCAGAAGGTACAAATTTCCCAGGAGTTAAAGATCCACTGTGTCGTGCTCTAATAATATATAAAATTTCATTTTCATATCCACCAATCATAGATCCATCTGGTAGTTGATTATCAGCCTCCACCCATTGAAGCTCCCCACCAGTAATTGGTTTGAGTCTCGGTTTCTCTATTATTGGTGGCACTGAATCAAAAGAGTAATAATTAATGTCTGTTAACTGTCTCGGTCTTTTGCAGAAAAATTACAATTTCATCAGAATAATCAATTTATTTGTAATTTAAAATGTTTCAATACTTACATTCAAAACGCCAATGCACAGGAATTGTATTTTCCATGTTACCAGATCCTGAACAAAATGTGATAAAATTCAGCTTCATTTTATATTTATAGGATATGATAGGACTCCTGTTGTTATATCTTCCTAATTGAATGCAACCACTTCTCCATGTAAGCCAGAATTTCCGGTATTCTGTATTATTAATTATATTGGGGGTTTGTGCAGTAACTCCTTGACCCTCTTTATCCTTTATCCATGTGTGATTACTTTGTCCTAAAACAACCTAGTAAAACAGTTTAATTTTATATTAACCTAAGTATTTAAATATAATAAATGTAAGTATAGACTGCATATTTACCCATAAATCACACGTTGGTCCTACATTTTTCAACAAGCCGATTGCTGCATTGTTTTGACCCTTTACTTCAAAGATCAATCCACTGCTCGATATTTTGTAAAAAATGTTTTTATGGCTCGGCCATGAAGTAAATTCTTAAAACAAAGAGAATATTGGCTTAGCAAATTATTTATAAATTTATTTAGAGTAAATTTAATCATTCATTAATATTCAATAAATGAATTTAGTACTTACCTATTAGATCTCCCATTATATTTATGCGATTCCAGTGAGATTAAGAAAGCTATAAATTACTGAAATTACCAAGTAGTGTACTTTTTTTTTCTTTGAAAAGAAATTGCAAAATATGGACTTGTTCCTTTATACTGAAAGTCTCAAAATAAGTAACACAATATTAGTAATGACTTATTTTTAATTTATTAAAATCACGAACCAATAAGAGAACTAGTTGTTCTTCTTTTTAATTAATGGCGTTGCCCTTGTGGATTTCGCCATTCCAGTGTTTAGCTCAGTTTATTTCAATTAATAGTATTTTATAATATAAACTCTGCTTTTTGAATGTTGGTAGTGAAAGCCCAAGTAAAATTTAATTTTAGAACGAGGAAGTATTTCAGAAATAAAAATTAGTTCTTAAAATCAAACTACATGTCACTATCAATGATTGGATGTAGTCAATGGTATTCTTTTAACAAAAAAAAAAAGTCTTTGTTGACAAAAGTAAAATGGTGCTGCCATATAAAAATCATTAATCGATTAAAAAGTAATCGATTATTTGTCTAAATTAACTTATATATTTAATCGAAAAGGATTATTTGTTATGTTTTGAATATATTTGATACATGATTTTGCAAAAGATTACCGACTGTAAGTGTATTATTAAATATATAACTTTAATTACTGTCATTTTCATTAGAGTCAAAACTTATCGATTAATCGATACTATTATTAATAGTATTTCAATAACATTTATTAATATGGAAACACAGTGAAACATGTTAACAAAACACATCCGATATTTTTAATGCTTAGTTTCCCATGACGAGTGTTAAAAATATTTTTTCACATAGTTTTAGTTTACATAGTTTTTACTAATTAGCTTGTCCACTAAAAGCCAAAATTGAACAATTCCCTTTTGTTTCTGACGTAACAAAAGTAAATGAGAAAGTATTAAAAAAAAAAAACATTAGTTGCCGAAATCAAACTAGATGTCGCTGCTCTTCGTTTTTGATTCTCTATGACAATCTTTCCGATTTTCTTTCAAGTTTAAAAGAACTAATATTCTATTTGTACGTTTTTTGTATTTTTATTGATATCTAAGTTGCGAACTTTTCAAATTTCAGTTTTTTAATATGTTAGTTTTCAAAAAGGAACGGAAATGACTGTCTTCATGGCGCTTGTGCACTACACTAAATTTTCAGGTCCGGCGGTCCGATTTTTTCCTGTCCGGAATGACATGAAAAACCCGGATGAGTGGCTTGTGCACTTGTCCGTTTTTTTCCTAATCGGAGCAGCGCAGTGTAGGGCAGCTCTCTTTGAAGCTTCAGGTCACTTACGCTAGGTACGATGAGAGTTTTGGAACATCGGTAATTACATGTTTTGTTACTGTACTTGCGAAGACGTAGAAAGGTACCTAAATAACGACGATCATTTTACATAAACCATAATAAATTGAGGCAAGACGAAAGCATTTTTTTTTACTAGTATTGGATGACTACTATTAGACGTAAAAACTTATACCCTTACTAATTTAGGAACAGCATAATTCACTTACAATAGCTAAAAATATCTGTGACATTAGTGAAATATCTGTAAAATTACTGATAATGTTCTAGTACTTACTTGATGTTTAAATTTATAAACGTGGTATTTTTTTTTCGAAGTTTTGTAAAAACAGCTTTAGCGATTACAGAGATAGACCAATCGTTGGCGCCATTTCGTAAACAAATAGAAATAAGTGCTGTGTAAGCGGAGAGTTAATATGCTAAATTAACTTAACGATTAAATCAGCCATCCTATTTTTAGTTTTAAATGACATGATCATTGTAAGATCAGTTGATTGTATTATATATAGGTATAATTTTATACGCGTGGTATAGTTTCTTTGAGCAGAATAATTTTTCTTTTAGAATACTTCCTTTTTTATTTATTTATGAGACAAAAAGTCATTTCAAATTTTATTACAATACATACGAAAAAGACATCGAGTGTCACTAAATTACTTCATAAATCAAAAATTAAATGTCTTTAATAAATATGCACCCGAAAGTCAAAGAGAAAGTTGCTACCAAATGACGTTTAACCACAAAAAAACAATTTAAGGTGTTTCAAAGACTATTATCAAGAAAACTTCTCTAATAATTCACTCAAAATAGAAAAGAAATTGCAAAATACTCTGATTGAAGTTACATAATCATCTGCACTATTGCTCACACTAGTTTATTTAAGAAGGAGCGACAGAGACATAAAGTGGACGACTACGTGTATTGAGAAACTCGGGTGTCCTATGTGTCAGTAAGATTCTGCAGATTAATTACTTTGAAGTTTTATTATTTATTTCATAAAGCAGTGTTATTTTCACGAAACGATACAATTCGGACTTTGATAATGATAATAATAATCAAAATTTGTCGCTAATTTTAGTGTTAATGATAATTAAATAAAGGTTAGTTGTAAAGGAAACGTTTAATAATAAATAATATGTTTTTATAAGCCTGACAATTTATTAATAACTTTGTCTCAAAGTAGGTAATCACTTTTAATATTATGGCCTAGTTTTTTTTGTAACTGTGAAAAGCGTAAATAAAATTGTAATAATTAGTAAATACTTTAATTAACAATTTCGTCAGTAAATTGGTGGTAATATGTTACTTTGAAAATTTATTGTTTAATTAAATAAAATAAAAAAATTACGATTTTGTATTAGGTAGGTCACTAAAACAGATTTTGAGGTCGTGGAACCCTTAATCGGTAAACTTTTGATTTAGATACATTGGTGTTGGAGTTGCTATTATTACATATGCAGTTTTTGTCATTAATTCAATCGGAGAGGTCCGAGACCAGCATTCTCGTGAGTTTTCAGAGTTTAGAAGGTCTATTTACGTTTTCGTTCCTTCAGGACTTGGTTTGTTTTTCGTACTCATTCTGTTTTTGTGCGGTCACTTGTTGCCGACTTCCATCGGAAGAAGTTAAATCATTTCACTTAATGATTGAACTTCTTCCGCATATTTCAAATTTTAATTTTCTGAAAAGTCAACGTGTATTATAGTTTTATGTATGTTCAAATTATTTTTAAGTGATTTGATTACTTTGTATTGATTTAGAATTTTGTGGACATGATCTGTACTTTGGCAATTCTGTTTCGAGTTTAGAAATGGCTTCTGAACGTTTCATTACTATTTTCCTTCTTTCTTTTAAAAAAAATTACCACCGTAATTCCATTTTCTAAAAATATTTCTTATTTTATTTTGTTCCATTGAAAAATATTAAAGTCAATCTCATTATTTAAATTTTAACAACGAGATCCATTCTGCACAATTTTGACACATTCTCTGCAAGCATTCTGTGTTGTATGGATCGCAACACAACGTGTTCAATATATTTTCTGGTGCCTTTTCTTTTATAATGGATGCCTTACTCATGGCACTTAGCAACAAATCCATAGTCACATGAGTAGCACACATGCATGTCTCTATTAGCTGGTTTAGGATGCAATACCCAGAAAGGCCGGTTTTTGCAAAAAAAATTGTAATGAATTTTATGATTAGTTTCATTTTTATTTTTTTTATATAAATCACTAAACGGAGCTGTTAGGTATAGTTTTTATTGACATATTTTATCGCTTATAATGAATTCTTTTTTTCCTGCAGTAACTGTACCATTGGCGTCCTCACAATAAAACAAAATTATTGTTTTTTTAATGTTAGATGTACGATGCGCACTTGTGGATTTAGGTGACAAATTAAGTCTTAATCTTGGTGTCGTCAAGTTTTTTTTGTAGGCTGTGTATCTTTTTACACTGTGATGCATTTTCCTTTTTTAATGCGTCTATTATAGAAATAAGTAATTTTCTTTTTTTTAATTCTTTGTATCTTATTTTTCTAATTGCGCGTTGCACTGCTGGACATGTTGCATGTTGCAAGGGATCTTCTTCTTTGAGAACACTCGGACCTTCTTTAGGGAAAGTGTCATCCAGGATAATTAAGTTAAGATTTGCTTGTTTTCTCTCTCGGTACTTTCTAGAGTTTTCTTTCCGTCTTCTTCTTTGTTCTCTTTGTGACCGAAGAGTTTTATCTTTTAATTGGACAACCTTTTTCTCTTTTTTTCTTTTAAGATATTGATGTCTTCGTTTTTCTTTTTCGATGTCAAGCAGCTCTGGATCGTTTTTTATTTCGTTATAGCGTCTTCTTTTACACATGCGCTGTTTTGCTAATCTTTGATCTTTCGTTTGAGCATTTTGCTGTAAGTAAAAATATTAAAGTTTTGGAACGGTTTAACGTTTTTCAATTTCACAAATCTGTAAGTATTCAGTTGATTTTTTAAGTTATATACAATGTCAAATTTTGTCGTAATTACTACATACCAAACAGGCGATAAGGTAAACTGAGATTGGTGAAGTTGGGTCTTTAAATCATCACAGCATCCAATAAAACATATTTATATAGTTAAAATAATATATTCTTATAGATTAAAAAAAGGTAAATAAAGCGGCTAAGTCTGTTAAAAAGGAATGTGTTACGAAATATCAAATTGACGGGGCGGGCATAACTTAAATCAAAACCAATAATTGTCCAATAGGATAATAACGCCATAAGACACGATTAAGAGTGCAGATAATATACAGACACTAGCTTTCCGTCAGTGGATTCGCCCGCGTGGTCTTGTATTATACATAAAAACCTTCCTTTTGAATCGCCCTATCTATGAAAAAAACCGCATCAAAATCCATTGCGTAGTTTTAAAGATTTAAGCATACATAGAGATATAGGGGCTGAGAAAGCGACTTTGTTTTATACTATGTAGTAACACTTCAAGACTTAGGATTAATTCTCTTTTTATAAGTCATTATAATTAATTCAAATATTAATATAATATATAAATTAAATTCCCTGAAACGTTATGAGAAAATCTGTAGGTATTCTACCAAAAATCATTTTTCACAACGCATCGTCATTATAACCAAGGTGAAAATCATTATGTAAAACTCAGTGTCATTCTTCGCAACATCAAGTTTCCCATAATGATGTAGCATAGAATGACGAGTTGAAAAAAATAACCTACACGATCTTGTTTGTGAGTGAGAGAATGGGAGTAAAAATAATAATAAATGTAAATAAAAAGTATATTAATAGGTGTAATCCAAAAAATGTACATCCTAAACTATTTCCATGAATTACATAATTAGACAGGTTTGAAGAACAACCCTAGTAAATTATAGACTATGTGCAACGCATATTCAGTTGTCTCCCATAGATGAAAGACTCATAAATCGTTCCAATAGTTTCGGCCTATCTAATGCAAACAAACGAGTAAACAAATTTTTTCTCTTTATAATATAAGTATAGAATTATTGGAAAAAATTATGCCCAGCAAATAAACAAAATCTTCAATTCTAAGACTTTCACTATGTTGAATATTTTTATTTATATAGGTATTTAATATTTTTTGGTGTTACCTATTAAATAAAAAGATATCAGTATCATTAAAAAGCATGAGATAAATACTTAAAAATAGAACTGACCTCAAACTTTAAAAAATGATACTTCATTATTTATCATCTAGTATTATTAAATGTTAGCGCCCTTCATTCTTTTAACATTTGAAGTCGTTTCTTTTTTCTTTAAAGCTGTTGTTCTTCTAAGCGTGTCCTTCGTAGAATAATCGACCGTACTAACTACTAATAGAGTCGAAAGCGAAATTATGTGTATACCTAATTATAGCGTCCATTATCAAAACGTTTATGTCGTATCTTCTCTTTTTATTTTAATCAAAGCTAAAAACATTAGAAGTGAAAGTTGAAGTATGAACTATTCAAAATAGTGTATTTCCTGCATATTTACTAAAATCGGTGAATCAAGAATCAAAATTTTGTATAGTAAACATTTCACGTAAACGATCAACTTCAGTAGACCTCTAATGAAATGAAATGTGATGTCACAACTCTATATGGGCATGAGTCATGCATGATCATCTGCCCATAATGCTGGATCCCCCTTGTAAAGCCCCAGGTGACAAATTAATAATTATTCTTCTGACTATCTAAGTTTTTAAGGTAAAATGAGTACAAAAACACAGAACTATATAATAAAATAATATATAATAAAATAATTTAATAAAATTAAAATAACATGTAAATGCTTACATGCACCTTAAACTACTTAGGTATTATGCAGTGCATTCAATAATATAACAAAAATACAAACAGGCACAGCGTGATAATTTTTTTGTCTCTGGATACAACATTAATTTGGACTGACATTTTATAGACTGTCAGATATATTTGTGACAATATTATCGTTGGGTGAATAGCATATTTTTTATGATTTAAGAAACAAGGACTTCGTATTCGGGGAAGCTTAATTCCTGGCCTCCAAAAGAGATGTAGCAGACTCCGTGAGATTGCTGAACTTTGCCTGTGGTCAGGCTTCCTTCGTGACGTACTCTGCCTACGAAAAGGGTTTCCCCATCTTCAGACACACCACCAGGGAACGCTCCGGGGGGGATGGCGGATCCGCTTGTTGGTACCCAGTTATTGGGACCTCCGACTAGTACCTGTTAAATTAAAATAGATCAGTTTGAATTCTCTAAATTTGAAGTGATATTATTACTTTTAATGATTGAGTAGTTTTTTCCTTTTTACTGTTAATAGATGGAATTGGTGCTCTAATTTTTTCTATCAACGAATATGTCCACATTTCTGATACCATATGTTAAAGCTGAGCGACAGGTTAAAGGTTATATTTTGTGTCGAACTACTCATTAACATTATTATATTTTGATTGTTTTAGCATTCACAATGCCATACTGAAAATTATTCTTAATACAAAATGCTTAAAAAAATCCACTTGGTCCTTGGCACCCTGAGATGAGAATTGATGAGAATACGCTCTGTAGTAGCGAAAAATAACAAGTGCTTGAAAAATTCGTCAGTCCTGTTAGGTACTGGGTAGCTCAGTGATTAGAGCAGTCGCCCGGATTACTCATTAACAGTCTATTAATATTTTTATCTATATTAATGTCCCTGTTGCTGGTGTAGGAAATCAAAACGAATCGTCTAGGGCAAATGGGTCTTGACCCAATCCAACGACTTAACTTGCCTTCGAAATTATACGGAGGAGCTCGAAATAATCAATTTTTGAAACACCCGAGAAGATTGATTTAATATTATTATCAATTGTCTCTGTAAAGTGAGGTACTTACTTTAGCCAATCAATTTGAAGAATAGTCTTACCTGATATTGAGGTTTGCTATGCTCCAACCCGCCCCAGGGTACAAACGCACAGCCATGAGATTGGAGTAGTTTTCCAGGGATCGTGGCGCCTTCGTGTTGCGCTCTAGCAATGAACAGTGGCTCGCCGCTACAGTCTTGTCCGCCAGCTACAGCTCCAGGTGGTAACTGTCCATTAGCAGCATCTACCCACTGACCAGCTCCTCCCATGGGACCACCAGGGTATCCGGGCGGGCTACTGTACAGAGGGGCCGCTACAGGCGCTGATGGTGGAACTGCAACCAGAATTATATCTATCAATACTATTTTTAGATATTATATGATGTGGTAACGTGCTCTATTCACTTAACTATTGATGAAAAAGCAAAGATTACTAGGCTAGAATTACCCAATCTCAACCAGATTTTAAAAGAGTTCGTTAGTATTTTTCGTTTCACCGTTTGGTTAATTGTGAAAATGTGTAATGACAGTTATTTCAAAGGACAGAATAAATATAAATAAGCTTGTGGGCATGTGCAATGAAATATATAATAAAAAAGATGTCGATACGTAAGTACTCATTACTTTTTCTGGTATAAGCGAATATCATAATTAATCAACATTCCCAACTTCAAAACAATGCCATTGCAGAGATGCATTTAGTAGATAAAATAATATAAAAATCGTATTAAGTACTTAGATTGAACTGTTTCAAAGAAAATGCGCAGAAAGTTTAGGTAAATGAGAAGATAGACAAACAATTAAAACATTCAAAATGTACCCAACGTACCACAAATACTTGTAGTGGTTAACCACTCTTGTTCAGCCAGACTATCCTAATTGGTGCATGAACACTGTATACGCCACTGAGTTCACAAACATGGTTAGTTATTTTTATTAAATATTAAAGTGCAACAGACGGATAACATTTAACATTAGTATTGTAACTTGTTAAACGTTTCTGACTAGGTTTTACGACATGTAAGCAATTAACATTAAAAGCAAAATCATTCCCGTTGATTACAATAGAGACTCAACGGCTGCCTGGTGCGCCGAAGTGCATGATGCGCCAGTGGCCGCGGGCGCCATAGCCCGTGCGTACGCCAAAGTGTGTCACGGGGACCGGAGACGGGTTAACCCACTCCATGAGCACTGCTCCAGAAGTTCCATCCCTTACAAGCAGTCTGCCACATTTCCATTCGATCAGAAATTTCCTAAACTCGTTGGGATTCATAATTCCTGGCGTCGGTAATATTACCTACGAATTTTTAGTTAATAAGTAGTAATACACTCGGATTAAAACAAATAATGCACGACATGTTTGATCGTACCTTGTCAGGTTTCTCTCTGCAGTATCTAATGACTGACTGGGTGTTCTCCCAGCCTCCAAGTATGATTTCGTACATAGGATTAATTTCCGCTGGGGCGGGTGTCAGACACAAGTGTGCATTATGTGGACCACGGTATTCAAATTGGAGGGAGCCCGCAGCTACCGGTCCGAATTTGTACTCTAACTTGTCTGGTGTATCAAATTCAGCACCATCTGCACCGGTAAAATATGATAAAATTTTGATCAAGCGTTGGGTACATTTTGTTCATTCTTAACTATTATACATACCTTCGATTTTCCATGAGCCTGAGGCACCCCAGCCTGTGCAGACTCCTACGAAAGCTACAGGGAATGGCTCCGGGTCTGTCCAGGACACAAATGGGATGACTTCTCCTTCTCGGCCGGCGGAAACGACGCCGCCATCCCAACGTACCCAAAAACCACGGAATTCCCCACTGTTGAGAATACCAGGTGTATCAGCCTCGACTTTATCAGGTTTGGTACGGTTCCTTCTGATTACACTTTTGCTATTACCCCACCCACCGATAAAGACCTGAAATTTAAAAGAAAACATATTTTTAACTGTTATATTAACGTATGAAAAATATGTTTTTATAACGTAAAAACGTGAGATCATCGTAAAATAAACAGTGATAAGTTTGACATACAAAGTTGAGAAGGACAAGCCTTTATGATGTAATAAAATCTGAATATGAAATGAATTCTGATTGAACTATGTATAATTTCAATTACCTCATACATGGGGTCTGATTCTTGGGGTCCCATAGTGAGTGCCAAGTGAGCATCATTGGCTGCTCGCACCTTAAATTGAACGGAACCCGATGATACTGGGTAGAACTGGTACTGGAGGTTGTCCTCCGTTTGCACATCTGAAAAATTAAAATTGTTTATTTATTATTTTACCGATTGTGAATAAAACAAAGTAAAATAAAACTTTACAAGACTAAACTCTTTTATATTCAGTGGGCGATCGTAATATGAATTCAAGGCCTCTCCTTGATTCTTATTATATACATCGTTCGCTTTCCATTTGGGGCAGGTCTCTTACTTAACAGTGAGTCTAAATATAGGTTAGTTCGCATGTGGGTATGTTTAGTGACGTGAGCAGTTACTGAGGTGTTCTTTCCATTGCTTCACGAATACGCATTTATTATGAAATGTTTGAAGTAATCGAGCAATGGATTTGAGTAATGTCATTTCGATATTATTCGAACAAGATGTAGGTTGGACGGATGATATCATCGTTTTGTTGTGTGCCCGGCCGTAACTCATGGCCATACTGATTCAAATCTTGTAAAATTCTTGTAAAAGCAATAAATGAAGCAAAGAAAATAAGAATACATATGAGAAGAGTTCTTTGCACTTGGCTATTAGTGGCAAGTCTTTTTTTTACTAGATTTATAAAGAAAAGACCTGTCAAATACGAGTCTGGCTCGCGGACTAAGGGTACGTACCGGAAACTTGCCAAATAACCATTGTTGTGTTGGGAGGCCCCTTATATATTTATTTTATTATAAAATAAATATATAAGGGGCTTATAAATTTTTTTAAGTTATTATATAAATACGTATTCTGTAAATATTGCAAGCGTCTTAAGTTGTCGTTATGAATTTTGAGCAAGAACGAGCAAAAATCACGTTTGTTGTATGGGAACCACCATTAATATTGATTTATTCTGGTTTTTAGTTTTGTTCTTGTGGCGGCAACACAATCTGTGAAAATTTCAACTGTCTATTTTCATGATATACCTACAGCCTGGTGACAGACAGCTTAGTCTTAGTGATAGGGTTCCAGTTTTACCATTTGGGTACGGGACCCTAAAAATCTATAAAATCGTAAATAATGTCTAAATACAAATCGTAATAAAAGGTTAAAATTAATGTACTAATTGCTAAAAAGTATTTAAATATCATTCATTATTTTATGTAAGTTGTATAGGTTATTGAGCACGAGTTGAGTATATGGTAGCTATGGTATGGTACTTTTGTACTAAATTAATATTTTAAATTTTTATCCCACTGAACATTTCCCTACGAACACGCGGGCGAAGCCGCTGGCGTAAGCTAGTTGTGTTTAAACTCTGTCCAGTACTTTTTGTGAAAGAGTAACGAACTTACATACATCCATCCTCACAAATTTTCGCATTTGTAATATTAGTAGGATAATATTGATGTTGTATTAGGTAATTAAAATAAATACTACTAATATATAATAATAGAGCTATTTGCTAATAAGTATATTTATTTATCAGAATTCCGGTTATGTTGAAATAACATTAGGTAGGTGAGTACCTACATAATTTGCTTACATAGACATCACTACGATTGTTTTCGAATTTCCTGAAAATATTGTTAAGGTCAACAGCGCAGTGGTAAGCTCGTTCGATCTGAGAACTTTTGCAAGGGCCTTTCATAGGATGGGTGACTAAAAATTATTATGTCATTCCTTCTTGTTTCTGCTATTTGTCCCGGCTACATCTGCAGTCGTTAACATCCACCAATCCACACTGGGCTCGCATGATCCATTCTTGATATTCGTTTCGATTCCACCCAGTGAAGGCCTATCCCCAGAAGTGGGACATTAACATGGCAATTATTGATATTGTACAAACTGTAAAATATCATATGAAAGGCTAAATGAATTGGACGAATTTGATATTGGTTTTTCATGGTAAAAAGTAACAGTTTGATCAATTCAAAAACACATTAACGAGCTCTGTTGTGACATGAACGATTGACAGACAAACCAACACGTTTTCCAGTTTATAATAGTATTAGCTGATCCAGGAATGTTTGTGTCATGTAGTTTTACTGGATAATCAAAGCGCTCGTTTACTATTCTCCTCTCAATTTTTTTCCAAGAAGTTTCCTCAGACTTTATTCAGTGATTACTTGTTTCGTTGATCAATGTTTTTTATTCAGTCGAGAGAGTAATGTACAAAATTATTGTATAATAGGTAGGTCAAGGTATAAGAATGATATCATTGGATCAATTAAATTCAATCTGCGGCATTCTTGGCGCAACGGTCACTTTATGAGTGAAGGTAATTTAGTCAGTACCAAAATCAAATTATTCGAAAACATTATGCGATTCATAGCCTGAAGTACATATTTTTTATTGTTCTACTGAAAGACTAATCGCTTAAAAATGTGTAATTTATAAAATACCCACCTACTTCATTACTATAAATATTTATTTTGTATTGATCCGTTTAAATTTAGGTACCTATAAAACTTCTTAATTAAGTTTACTTATCAATACGCGTTAATAGGCATACATATAAGCTTCCAACTGATTTAAGCACAGTTAGAATGATCTTAAAATGATGAAACAAAATCGATAATCAATAATCTTGTAATGCAAGGGAAAATCACTATAGGTAACTACCTACTTAATAACGTTAAGTAAATGCAATAGTTAAGAAATCCTTGACAATAATGTAGTATCAAGCGTTGATGATGTCATGTCTAAATAATTACAAGCTAAATAAATCTGATGTCACTTTGTAGTATTACGGTACTGTAACATTGCAATGTTTTCCTAGTAACAATTTTATTTTTGTAATGCACGATCGAAAGTAACCTACAAGAGAGAGAAAAATAAACGTAAGTATTTATTTATTGATTAAAAATAAGTTTGTATGCGGCAACACCACGCCTCGATTTTGGACGTTAGCCAGGAAAACGCCGGCTAGGTATTTCAAAGTGCGTTCCGTCAAAAATGCCGCATTTGATTTGAATACTTGTTTAATGTTAATTTCACTGATCAAAGACTTGAAATAATAAATACATAATTATACTATTTTCTAATTAATTTTTCAAAGAGAGAAAATACATTTTTTTTATTTCAATTATAAATTAAAAAAAAGACTTACCCATAACGTTGGACATTGTTGCAAAGTTTTCGTATGTACACCGATCGAACTTGGATCTTGCGTTCGTTCAAGCGGAATGCTGCCTCAGAACTGGGGACGGCGTACCAACCACGTAATGTCCACATCCCACGGCCTCGGCGCCGACGCGTCGCACCGACCGTAACATAGATGATGTCATACTTAGACATCTCAGTAATTTGTACTTCTTACTGTAAGTAATAGAGTTCAAATCTTCGTTCATATTTATATCTACTTACTGCGTTTCGTTTTTGAAATTTTAAGACTTACAAACTGGCTGAATCGCTAGCTTTGTATACTTATGAGAAGCTAAGGAATTGCAAATGTCCACCATTATTGATGATGTTTTGTCACTATTTACTAAGTAAGTACATAGATAAATTTTAACACATCTTGTTAGAAAGAAAAGGTGTTAAAATTAGATCCAGTCTGTCAAACCTCGAGATTATACTACGTCGGTCAAGGTCTTGTTTTGTTACATAACTTCTGGCTTAACTACCTGCCGGTCTGTGGTCGTTTCGATCCTATAGGTCATAGATAAGATCTACTCCGTTTCAAAAATACAATTTTATCTATTATCTAAATTATGATTTATGATGCAACGAATAATTAAAACTTCCTTCTCGAATTACTCTGTATATTGTTGAAAACCGTATAAAAATCCATTGTGTAACTGTAAACAGTCTGCAGCGGGAAACGTTTCAGGTATTTTGTGTATAATCCTTAAGACATTTATCCAGAAGCTTGTTGAGGAATTTTATTACTATATTAAGTTAACCAACTTCAAAATCGAAAAGGAGCAGGTTATGTTCGACGGCGATGTATTTTTTTTTATGTATTTTCCGCGTTTTGTTGATCGATTTTCAAAATTCTTTTTTATTCGACAGCTTAATGGACCGCAATGTCCCATTTAAATTTCATCGATTTGGAGGTCACTACCAGTTGTAAAATTTTAACAAAAAAAAAAGAATGTATGACCGCTTAGTTTACAGTTTCACTTATATTTCCAAAATATGTCACTAGTAAAATTGAATAATTATTGAATTCAAAATTGATCAGGGCAAATACAATATAATGATCAGAACAAATTTTGTATATTAATAGAATGTTCAAAATATTTGTAAAAATATTTTTTGGGTGGATTGTCTATACGCTCATCATCAACAGCCTTTTTACGTCCCCACTGCAGGGGCTCAGGCTTTCCATATGGATGGTTAAAGAGGATGGGCTATGACCCTCCAAGCTAGCCCGATGCGGATTGGAGGATATTAACGACTGCAAATGCAGCCGGGACTAACGACTTACGTGCCTTCCGAAGCACGAAGTAGCTCGAGATAATATTTTATTGGTCAGTAGCGTAAAGTAACAAGTACTTGAAAAATTCGTCAGTTCTGCTGGGTAGCTCTGTGGTTAGAGTAGTCGACCGCATTGCCAAAGGTCGTGGGTTCGAGTTTCATCTCGAGTGGGTGGATTTTGTAAGCCAATATACATTATGAATGTAAAATTGATCAAAATGATTAATTAAAAATATTATTCAAATCCGGCAAAATCTAAAAAATAAAGAACATTTGGAATAAAATTGACCAAAGCGACTACAAAACAATGAGGAAGTATTTAAAAAAAAACATTCGTTTCCGAAATCAAACTAGAACTACAGTACTTTCTTGATTTCTCCATGACAACCATTCCTGTTTTATTTCGTGTATTAAATTAGTTTTCAATACTCAATAAATAACTCATATTCTATTTGAAATTTCTCGTATTTGTATTGATATGTAAGTTTCGAACTTTGCAAATTTCAGTTTTTTTAATATTATAGTTAAAAGAAACAGAAAAGAATCTTTGGTCCATTCGTTTCCTGCAATAATCAACTTTTGCTAGAGTCGCCATCTAGTGGAGGTGCTTTTTTGGTGCTTTCTTTTTATTTTTAAATACTTTCTCATTGCAGATGACACCGACGTAAAAATCCTTGCAGATGCATTTATTTATTCATATTTTTTTCTATTTATTAACGAAGTAAACAAACATAAATAACAGTTTAGGATAACATCTAATAACTACAGAGGTTTAATTTGTGTTATCATAATAATAAGAAAAAAAACAGTAACTGA